CAGATACTGATTAAATAAGTTCTTAATAAGTGATGCTGGAGATGATGTCCCTGCCCTACGGGTAGATGGTATTACAAAGGGTGTTTTCAAATGTCACTCTTTCTGTGTCGGGTGGGAGACATCCATGTCAGCCATGATCTGAGGGCTTGGCTCAGCAGGGGTTTGGGGGGTCAGACGATCAGGAGTTTGGCTCTGGCTCTGCTACTAACTGGCTAGATGATTTGGGGCACTGGCTGCTCCTGAATGGCGAATTGAAGAGATTGTACCTAATGATTTCTCAAATCTATTAAAAACTGCTTCTGCAAAACAAACTTCCGAGACTAATAAGAACCCAGAGGCATATGGAGATAGAGATCTCCCCACTGAGGTCTGAGTCCCCACCACGGTCAATGCCTTTCAATGGCTGGAAATGCAGGGAAGCTGTACAGATAACTCGGGGGAGGTGGGGCAAGTCCTTCTTTAAGTCTTGGTTACAGGAACAAGTGTACTGGGGACTTAGAGGAATCCAACTTACACCCTTAGGATTAGAAAGTACAAATTCTACAAGAACTCCCTGGCGACAGAACAGAGAGTCCTAGAACAAAGCCTGTTTTTGATCCTTTGTCTTGGTTTGGGGTGATACCATATCTACAGCAGAAACCACGGTGCTTGTATTGTTTGTGTGCCAGGAATAAAACAGGAAAACACAACCAAGTGGTTTGGTTAGTTTTGGCACGCACAATGCAGGTTGGGAAATGCCCTTGGATTCTGGCTGATCACCTAGCATTTAATTTTTTAATAAGTGTGTTGCTTTCAAAATACCAGAGGTTCTTGTTGAAGGGTTATTGTAAAGAATTGAACATCCTGGTATTTGGAACAAACATTCCAGTTGGTTGGCATCAGAGCCCTTACTGTAATATCACTGATAATAGCAGTGACCACCACAAGAGCCGGTGTAGGGTCCCTGGGGATTCCCCCAAGGAAGACTTTCCATTTATGGTAAAAAAATAAAAAGAGTGAAGAAGCCGGGATTTGATGTTAAAAACTTGACAATTTGTGCTTGTAATGTTGGAACCACTGGTCCTCAAAGTGGAACTTCATGCCTTCAGCCTTCATGGCCCTGGGACCATGACGATCTGGTTTTGGAGTTCACTGTGTGATCTTGAGCTGACCTTGGATCTAGCTTTAGGATGCTTCTGCTTTACTGATTTCAAGTTCAGTTTGTTGTGGGGCTTCTATATTCTATATTCTGATCATTAAGTCAGAAGGTGCTATTGTTTGGCATGACTACCCCCAAAGGCCCATGTGCTATGGGAGCTAGAACCATTAGGAGATGGGACCTAGTGGAAGGAGGTTAAATCATTGGAGGCATGCCCTTGAAGGGGATATTGGGACACTGGACCTTTCCTGTCTGTTTGCTCTCCAGCCACTATGAGGCGAGGCAGAGGTGGAGCAAAGCTTTTCTACCACATGTTCCCCACCATGATGTGCAGCCTCACCAAAGGCCCAAATCAACAAGGTCATTGGTTATGCATTAGAACCTCTGAAGATGTCAACCAAAATATACCTTTCCTCTTTTTTTTTCTGGTAAATACATTTGCTTTATTTTTTTAAACTTTTTTGTTATTATTTGGTCTAATTACTTATACACAACAGCAGAAAGCATTTCCCACTCACTGTACACAAATGGAGCATATCTTTTTATTTCTCTGGATGTACATGATGCAGAGTTGCATCATTTGTACAATCATCCATGTACACAGGGTAATGATGTCCATCTCATTCTGCCATTTTTCTACCCCATACCCCTTCTCCCCCGCTCAGTGCCCTCTGCCCAATCCAAAGTTCCTCCACTCCCCACTACCCGCCTTATGGATCACCATCCACATATCAGAGAAAACATTTGGCCTTTGGTCTTGGGATTGGCTTACTTCACTTAGCATGTTAATCTCCAACTCTATCCATTTACCTGCAAATACCATAATTTCATTCTTCTTTAAGGCTGACATATACCATTGTGTATGAATACCACAGTTTCTTTATCCATTCATCTATTGAAGGGCGTCTAGGTTGATTCCACAGTTTAGCTATTGTGAATTGAGCTGCTATAAACATTGATGTGGCTGCGTCCCTGTGGTATGATGATTTTAAGTCCTTTGTGTATAAATGAGGAGTGGGATAGCTGGGTCAAATGATGGTTCCAACTTTTTCTAAGGAAACTCCATACTGTTTTCCACAGTGGTTGCACCAATTTGTAGTCCCACCAGCAGTATATGAGTGTACTTTTTCCCCCACATCCTCTCCAACACTTATCATTGCTTGAATTCTTGATAACTGCCATTCTGACTGGAATGAGATGAAATCTTAGAGTAGTTTTTATTTGCATTTCTCTAATTGCTAGAGATGTTGAACATTTTTCATATATTTGTTGATCAATTGTATATATTCTGTGAAGTGTCTGTTCAGTTCCTTAGCCCATTTATTGATTGGTTATTTTTCTTTATTTATTTATTTATTGGTGTTAAGTTTTTTGGGTTCTTTACATATCCTGAAGATTAGTGCTCTGATGTGTGGTGAAGATTTTCTCCTATTCTGTAAATATCTATCTTTTAAAGTTGATCATTTCAAGTATTTTGTTATAGTATTTTGTTATAGTAATGGAAAGGTAACGTGGGAAGCATGGTTTGATACCTCGTTTAACAATGTCCTGGGCCCAGTGTAGCTCAAAGACCAGCTGCATCAGCACCCCTCAGAGGCTTGTGAGAAATGGCCCATCCTAAACTTACCATATCAGAACCTGTATGTTACAAGACCCTAGGGTGATTCATATGCACTTTTCAGTTTGAGAAGCTCTGTAGTAGAGCACCTCAGTGGCCACTCTAACAGGTACATCTGGGAGGTAAATCAGCCATTCACTGGCCCAGGACAGTTTGGTTATAAGAAGAAAGAGGAAAGGACTTAATTTTAAAAATCTGGTTATAATCAGAAGTTTTCTGTTTGATAATAGTACCACTTTTCAACCCAAAGGAAAGATTCATTTTCCAAAAGTAAATAAATAAATAAAGTATGGGATTAATTTTCTCTCTCTCTCTCTCTCTCTCTCTCTCACACACACACACACACACACACACACACACAGCAGAGAAGAAAAAAGCAATAAAAATCACCCTTATTTCACCCCTTGGAAACATATGATAAAAGAAGTCCCCAGACAGTTTTCTAAACGCCTCTCACTTAAAATTACCAGTGTTACTTATATCCTACTCAAAATACTCGTCTGCTTATGTATCTACAAACACAGTAAAATCATTCTTAATAATCGTTTTTGGGAATGCTTTCTAAGCTGGCATAAGGAAAGAGTGTTGGATGGAGCCCTCTGAAAGGCCTCCTCCCATTTAAGCCTTTAGCTGCTCTGTTTGAAATGCATTTTGCATTAAGAATGGGGAAAAGAGGCCCCGTGCAGAGGGACAAGGCGAACCAGACAGGAGCCTGGTTCCAGTGGAAGGTGGCTCCCTCTGCTTCCCTTTCTGCTCTCTTCACCTCTCTCACCTGCTCAAGCTTCGCAGAACACATGAGACTCCCTCCAATGACCCCTGCCCTTCTGGTGTTTGCAGATGGTGGCAGGGCGGAGATCAGAGAGGCTCAGGCCGTCCTCCTGGTGAGGTCCCTGCCAAGGAGGGGTTCTATCTCACCGAGTGGTTTCTGATGTCTTTTTTTTTATTGCTTTTATTTTTAAAATACATGACAGTGGAATGCATCACAATTCGAATCTCACATATAGAACACAATTTTTCATATCTCTGTATATAAAGTATGTTCACACCAATTCATGTCTTCATACGTGTACTTTGGATAATGATGACCATCACATTCCACCATCCTTGCTAACCCCCTGCCCCTCCCTTCCCCTCCCACCCCTCTGCATTCTAAGCTGGAGCTTTCATTCCTTCTTGGAAGATTTAGGCCATAATTCAGTTGAGGTCATTGTTTTCCAATTCTTCTCCAGTATTTATTTGAAAAACTCTTCATTTAACCTTCCTGATTAAATGTGATTGCTCTGAACTTTTCTAAACACAACACACACACACACACACACACACACATAAAACAAAATCTTATCTGAGAAAGTGACACAGTCACAGGCCAGGGAGACTGTTATCTTTCTTTCTTACACATAGGGTTTAGAGAGAAAGAATTTCTCCTTTTTGGGACTCACAACCCAGTTTTCATGATTGGCCTTTGTAATGGTTTGCAAATTATCCCATACTTAGTGGCTTTAAGTAATTTGTTATAGTTCTGCAACTCAGAAGTCCAAATCTTATCTGATGCACTGGATTAACTCCAGGTACTCTCTATGTGCAGAGGTGCAGGTGTTCTGTGGCTCTTGGCTACGTTACTCCTACTCCAACCTCTGCCTCCCTCTTCACATTCCCGTCTCTGATTCCGATTCTCCTCCCTGTCCCTCTTTGGACCGTATTGATTGCCGTGGACTCACCGATAACCCAGGATCATCTAGGGATAATCTCAATAACCTCTCTATCTAAGGATTCTCCATTCAATCACATGGATAAAGTCCCCTTTGCCATTTAAAGTGACCTAGTCCTAGATCCTTGGGATTAGGTCTTGGGCATCTTGAGAGGGCCACCTTTCCACAGCCACCAAGGCCAAAATACTACAATCGTGTCCCTTGAGCACATCTTACCAGCTAAGGGAGAGTTTATGGATTGTCTCCAGGTTAAGCTGCTTGAATTCACAGCACAGAACAATTCCCAGACTCCCTGGAGAGGGGAAGGCAGAGTGGTGCTTTTCAAAGAGCTTACAGATGTGTTTTGACAAGCAGCCAGTCAAATGAAGGAGTGAGGAGGCAGAAAAGTGGGATGGGGGAGGCTGAAACCAAAAGAATAAGGAAATATAATATATAATATAATGAACAATATAATGTACATATATTATACAAACACAATAATCATCTCAGACTCTCCACTCAATTCCACATGCCAAGCACAGCACAGGGCCCTCTGCAGACTTCATTTCATTTAATCTGCACAAAAAAAGTCAGCAAAACGGGCATGGGCATCTTTATTTTAAAGATGAGGAAACTGGATTCTATCACCATGATGAGCTCTTGTGGAGTCCACTCTTGTGGAGTCTCCGGGGTCACCTCGCACAAGGCCCTGTCAGCAGAGAGGACGATGTTTCCGAATGTGGTTTTTAATAACTAGAGTTACTCTCCCTGAAGAAAGTGCTCATAGCCTTCCCAGAAGCCCCTGCTGTTGGTAAATTTGGTCTTGCCCTAGAGCATAGGCAGAATGAGTCTGGCTCCTTAGAGAGGATGGTGTTTATCTTACTTTCCTTCCCCACTTAATGGACCCATGATCTGCTGGATCTGCTTGACTTTGTCAGAACAGAAACCATAGAGTATCTTAATGGCAGGCATTCTGGATCCTGTTGAAAATTACATTCATATTTGATTAACATTTATTGAATATTTGTCATGGGCTGTAGGCTGAGCAGGGTTCCTGGTAAACAGCTCAATAAGCATTTGGTGGAAATGGGGCTGCTACCCTAGCACATGTGCTCAGGTAATTAGATGGTCAAGTGGCTTATGGTGATGCAGAGACTTGATGGAAGGTCTGACTATCTCCATTATTCTTTAACCAGTGCATTCAAGAAACAGATGACCGGTCCTTCTTGGTTTGCAGTAATTCCCTATCTTTGGAAGTTGTTTCAGAATATGTGTCTGTCTATTGTCAGCATGGGTCCTTCTGTTACAAATACAAAGAGAAGAAAAAAGAAAACCCAAATGCAGGAATTGAAACAGATTTCAGCTCCTCTTTATATTGCTTGATGGCACCCAACTAGTAGTGTTAGAGCCAGGCTGAGCTGGCCCAGGGAGCCAATTGTCTTTCCAATTCCCTGTTCAATGACAGTAGGGCCATAGCTTGATACTGGCCATGGAACTATTCACACCATGAAAATCTGTAAACATTACCATTTAGGGCATTTTTCCCCCTTCTAAAAAAGCCACGTTTATCAGCATACCAATGTCCCCAGTACATATACTTTGTGTGAGTGGTACCATAAATGATTAAAATAAGTATTCAATTGGAAAAAACTAATATTTGTTAACATAGTTAAGGAATACTTACAGAGGAAATATATAAAATCATAGATCCGGGGTGTTGGAAGAGACAGTAGACATTAACCAGAGTATGTGTCCATTTGGCAGATCAGGAAACTGAATCGGTCCTGATCAGAAGAGCTCTGTACCCTCCTCCTTTGATCCAATCCAGATCGACCTGGAGATGCCTTTCTGCATTCTTCCCTAATGGCACAGTTCTTGAGATTTAAAAGAGGGTGTCCCAGAACAGGGCATTCGGAGCTTCATTGCAGAGGTCAGGGGGAGCAGAGGGAGGGACTAAACCCAGGATGCAGGGGTTAGGGTGGACATGCCAGGGATGGTTTGCCTCTGCCTGTTCTTGTAACAACTCAGCAAGGAAAATGATTGCTATTTTTCACCAATCCTTTTTTCATTCCAAACCACTTTTTCATACCAACCATGGTGATTCTCAGGTCCAGAGATGGGGTCAACTACTGGCCATTATAGGACTCTTTAGCTGCAGAAGCACATGCATGGGCACGGCCTCTCGGAAAAAAATCCAGGACAGAGGAGGGTGTCTTCACTGTGCCAGTGTTGTTCAGGAAATCCTCTTTCCATGACTAACCAAACCAAATGAATTAATTTGTTTTAAAAAATTAATAGAAGCAGAAAATCTACCAGAAAACAGCCCGTGAGAAGGTAGGTTTTTGTAATTAGTGCCTAGAGAAGAACATCCAGATTGTTTCTTCTCTCGACATTCCCCTGCTCAGTTCTTCCTGCTCTGCTTTGCTGGCCTCCGCCCCACACTGAGCCTGTTGAAGCATGAAGCTGGGGAGGTCGAGCATCTCATATGGACCAAATCCCGGATGTCACTTTCCTTCCTCCAGCCCACAAGCCAGTGAACCGTGCAGGGCAAAGGTTGGAATTATAGCCCTTGGCTATTCTTTTGTGTTTCTGAGAGCTATCTTCTTTCTCCACATCTCTCTGGCCTGCATATGCAACACCCTTGCCCTGCCAATACCAAATCTTACAACAATTCTTGCAAAAATAAACGAGCTTGTAATTAATAGCTTTCATATGAACTCTGGCATTTTCTAGAAGCTAAGTTCTTGTGTTCAACAACCTAAGGGGATGTTGGTTACTTGTACAGTTGTCCCTTGGTATCTGACAGTGAGGATTGGTTCCCGGATCTCCAAGGATACTAAAATCTTTGGATGCTCAAGGGCCTTATATTAAATGTGGCTAATACATGCCCTCTCATTAATCTCAGGCTGTTAATGCTGACTTTAAATCTTTTCTAGATTACTCATAATGCCTAATATAATATAAATGCTATGTAAAGTGTTGTTATCCTGTATTTATTAGGGAATAATGACAAGAAAAAAGTCCTAACATGTTCTATGCAAGTGAAATTCTTTTTTTTTTTTGAGCATTTTAGATCTGCATTTGAGGATGCATGACTTGAAGACACAGAGGGCTGATGGTTATCATACAGCAGCACCTGCAAATGGGGTTTCTGGTCTTAGGGGACCCCCCCCCCCCCCGCATAGCAATGGCTATAGATGAGTATAGCAGATACTTCTAACATTTTTTTAAAATCAGCCTTTCCTCTCTCCCTCCTTCTGCAAACTTCCCAGCCATGGCTTTCAGGTATAAAATTAGCTCATTCTTGATCTCTCAGAGATCTTGAGTGCTGAGAAGCGGAAATCAGCAGCAGAACCCATCAGGCAAAGGAGTGAAGAGGTCAGAGGCAGGGAGACTGGGGATTCCCACCACCCGAAGCGAGGGCTGGCTGTGATCATGGTGGCCTGAAGATGGGGAGATAGGAGAGGCATGCAGAGGGAAAGACGGGAAGGATTTTGCCACCAGTTGCTACTGTTTTAGAGATTCAAGAAGCAGGAAGAACATGATTCTAGGGGTTGGAGCCTGAGCCCTGGAAGAACATGAGTACTGAAATCAGGTCATTAAAAGGCAAATTCCCTGTTTCTTTTTTTTTTTTATTTTTTATTGTTGGTTGTTCAAGTCATTACATAGTTCTTGATATATCATCTTTCACACTTTGCTTCAAGTGGGTTATGAACTCCCATTTTTAGCCCATATACAGATTGCAGAATCATATCAATTACACATCCATTGATTTACATATTGCCATACTAGTGACTGTCGTGTTCTGCTGCCTTTCCTATCCTCTACTATCCCCCCTCCCCTCCCCTCCCCTCCCCTCTTCTCTCTCTACCCCCTCTACTGTCCTTCATTTCTCCCCCTTGTATTATTTTTCCCTTTCCCCTCATTTCCTCTTGTATGTTCTTTTGTATAACCCTGAGGGTCTCCTTCCATTTCCATGCAATTTCCCTTTTCTCTCCCTTTCCCTCCCACCTCTCATCTCTGTTTAATGTTAATCTTCTTCTCATGCTGTTCGTCCCTACTCTGTTCTTAGTTACTCTCCTTATATCAAAGAAGACATTTGGCATTTGTTTTTTAGGGATTGGCTAGCTTCACTTAGCATAATCTGCTCTAGTGCCATCCATTTCCCTGCAAATTCTATGATTTTGTCATTTTTGTATATTGTGTATAAATGCCACATTTTTTTAATCCATTCATCTATTGAAGGGCATCTGGGTTGGTTCCACAGTCTTGCTATTGTGAGTTGAGCTGTTATGAACATCGATATAGCAGTGTCCCTGTAGCATGCTCTTTTTAGGTCTTTAGGGAATAGACCAAGAAGGGGAATAGCTGGGTCAAATGGTGGCTCCATTCCCAGCTTTCCAAGAAATCTCCATACTGCTTTCCAAATTGGCTGCACCAATTTGCAGTCCCACCAGCAATGTACAAGTGTACCCTTTTCCCCACATCCTCGCCAGCACTTGTTGTTGTTTGACTTCATAATGGCTGCCAATCTTACTGGAGTGAGATGGTATCTTAGGGTGGTTTTGATTTGCATTTCTCTGACAGCTAGAGATGGTGGGCATTTTTTCATGTACTTGTTGATTGATTGTATGTCCTCCTCTGAGAAGTGTCTGTTCAGGTCCTTGGCCCATTTGTTGATTGGGTTGTTTGTTATCTTATTGTCTAATTTTTGGAGTTCTTTGTATACTCTGGATATTAGGGCTCTATCTGAAGTGTGAGGAGTAAAGATTTGTTCCCAGGGTGTAGGCTCCCTATTTACCTCTCTTATTGTTTCTTTTGCTGAGAAAAAAACTTTTTAGTTTGAGTAAGTCCCATTTGTTGATTCTAGTTATTAACTTTTGTGCTATGGGTGTCCTATTGAGGAATTTGGAGCCCGACCCCACTGACTGTAGATCGTAGCCAACTTTTTCTTCTATCAGACGGCGTGTCTCTGATTTGATATCAAGCTCCTTGATCCATTTTGAATTAACTTTTGTGCATGGCGAGAGAAAGGGATTCAGTTTCATTTTGTTGCATATGGATTTCCAGTTTTCCCAGCACCATTTGTTGAAGATGCTATCCTTCCTCCATTGCATGCTTTTAGCCCCTTTATCAAATATAAGATAGTTGTAGTTTTGTGGATTGGTTTCTGTGTCCTCTATTCTGTACCATTGGTCCACCCGCCTGTTTTGGTACCAGTACCATGCTGTTTTTGTTACTATTGCTCTGTAGTATAGTTTGAAGTCTGGTATCGCTATACCGCCTGATTCACACTTCCTGCTTAGCATTGTTTTTGCTATTCTGGGTCTTTTATTTTCCCATATGAATTTCATGATTGCTTTCTCTATTTCTACAAGAAATGCCGTTGGGATTTTGATTGGCATTGCATTAAACCTATAGAGAACTTTTGGTAATATCGCCATTTTGATGATGTTGGTTCTGCCTATCCATGAACAGGGTATATTTTTCCATCTTCTAAGATCTTCTTCTATTTCTCTCTTTAGGGTTCTGTAGTTTTCATTGTATAAGTCTTTCACCTCTTTTGTTAGGTTGATTCCCAAGTATTTTATTTTTTTTGAAGATATTGTGAATGGAGTGGTTGTCTTCATTTCCATTTCAGAGGATTTGTCGCTGATATACAGGAATGCCTTTGATTTATGCGTGTTGATTTTATATCCTGCCACTTTGCTGAATTCATTTATTAGCTCTAATAGTTTCTTTGTAGAGCCTTTTGGGTCTGCTAGGTATAGAATCATATCATCTGCAAATAGTGATAATTTAAGTTCTTCTTTTCCTATTTTGATGCCTTTAATTTCTTTCGTCTGTCTAATTGCTCTGGCCAGCGTTTCGAGAACTATGTTGAACAGAAGTGGTGAAAGAGGGCATCCCTGTCTTGTTCCAGATTTTAGAGGGAATGCCTTCAATTTTTCTCCATTCATAATGATGCTAGCCTGACGCTTAGCATAGATTGCTTTTACAGTATTGAGGTATGTTCCTGTTATCCCTAGTTTTTCTAGAGTTTTGAACATAAGGGGATGCTGTACTTTGTCGAATGCTTTTTCCGCATCTGTCGAGATGATCATATGGTTCTTATTTTTAAGTCTATTGATGTGGTGAATAACATTTATTGATTTCCGTATATTGAACCAGCCTTGCATCCCAGGGATGAATCCTACTTGATCATGGTGCACAATTTTTTTGATATGTTTTTGTATCCGATTCGCCAGAATTTTATTGAGGATTTTTGCATCTATGTTCATTAGAGATATTGGTCTGAAGTTTTCTTTCTTTGAAGTGTCTTTGTCTGGTTTAGGTATCAGGGTGATGTTGGCCTCATAGAATGAATTTGGAAGTTCTCCCTCTTTTTCTATTTCCTGAAGTAGCTTGAAAAGTGTTGGTATTAGTTCCTCTTTAAAGGTTTTGTAAAATTCTGCTGTATACCCATCCGGTCCTGGGCTTTTTTTGGTTGGTAGTCTTTTGATGGTTTCTTCTATTTCCTCGATTGATATTGGTCTGTTTAGGTTGTCTATATCCTCCTGACTCAATCTGGGCAGATCATATGCCTTAAGAAATTTATCTATGCCTTCACTATCTTCTAATTTATTGGAGTATAAGGATTCAAAATAATTTTTGATTATCTTCTGTATTTCTGAAGTGTCTGTTGTGATATTGCCTTTTTCATCCCGTATGCTAGTAATTTGAGTTCTCTCTCTTCTTCTCTTCGCTAGCATGGCTAAGGGTCTGTCGATTTTGTTTATTTTTTCAAAGAACCAACTTTTAGTTTTGTCAATTTTTTCAATTGTTTCTTTTGTTTCAATTTCATTAATTTCAGCTCTGATTTTGATTATTTCTTGCCTTCTACTTCTTTTGCTGTTGTTTTGCTCTTCTTTTTCTAGGATTTTGAGATGAAGTATGAGATCATTTATTTGTTGGTTTTTTCTTTTTTTAAGGAATGAACTCCAAGCAATGAATTTTCCTCTTAGAACTGCTTTCAATGTGTCCCATAGATTCCGATATGATGTGTCTGTGTTTTCATTAATCTCTAAGAATTTTTTAATTTCCTCCTTGATGTCTTCTATAACCCATTGATCATTCAGTAACCTATTGTTCATTCTCCAAGTGATGTATGCTTTTTCCTTCCTTCTTTTATCGTTGATTTTCAGTTTCATTCCATTATGATCAGATAAGATGCATGGTATTATCTCTACTCCTTTATATTGTCTAAGAGTTGCCCTGTGACATAATATATGATCTATTTTTGAGAAGGATCCATGTGCTGCTGAGAAAAAAGTATAACTGCTTGATGTTGGGTGGTATACTCTATATATGTCAATTAAGTCTAGGTTATTAATTGTGTTATTGAGTTCTATAGTTTCCTTATTCAGCTTTTGTTTGGAAGATCTGTCCAG